TCTACGGGGGGGGGGGGGTTTAGGGGGTTCAAACCTCCCCCCCCCCCCCCAAAAAAAAAAAAGAAAGAAAGAAAAAAAGAAAGAAAAAAGAACGCACGCTGGAGAGAAACCCTTTCAAGTGCAAATATTGTGAGAAGATATTCAACTCATCTGGTAACTTAACCAAACACATGATAAAAAGGCTGGATATAACTGTGTATTAAGCTGTTACTTGATTTAAAAAGACGTTATCATGCACTGCTTTTTATGGTCTCCATTGTGTTAATAGATGCCAGGAAAACATCACTTACGGGGTTCAAATAAACACCCCCAAAAAAATCGGCTCGCCGCTACGCGGCTCGTGGACGATGCTCTGCATCGTCATTATTTTGGTCAAACCCCCCCCCCCCTTAGCAAAAAGCTAGATCCGCCCCTGGTAATTTTGTTGAGTTAAATCATTTTTTTTGTTTATTCATCAAATTAATGAGTACCGAAGTGTGACGTCATACAGGCCAAGTTGTCAAGGTTGTCAACATAATTTCTTGCTAAACAACGCAAGGACCGAACACTGAATTTGCCCTGCTCCATCTCGCTCTCGTTTGTCATTGCCTTCATTTTTCCTCGCTTACTTTATTCTTACCACGGAATATGTAATGTTTATGCACGTGTATGCCTCTATTATTGAGAATATACTCACTAATATCGCTGAAATGATTCTTCTCCTACCACTTTTTCTTCATTTACTTCTTCTTAGTAGTTGTAGTAGTAATAATAATAATAATAATATTTGCATTTATATAGCGCTCATTACAGTAAATGTATCACAGTAGTAGTAGTAATAGCAGCAGTATCATAATAATCATTATTATTATCATTGTTATATTAATTATTATAGTAAATATCGTAATTATAATCATTATTATAGTAATTATGTGTTATTGTTATTATTCTTATAGTTATTTGTATGCTTCTTCTTCTTATCATTATTATCGTATACAAAATACGTCATGTGCCAAGAATTTATTGCTACGACACATCCAAGATGTCTACCAAAACTGTCAATTCGTTGCTGAAATATTATCAAGCCAAAAGAAGGAACATTAGAATTTCTATTTTAAATTGAAATAAATTATGTAGGAGAAATAAATAGAGAATACAATCATGATTTTGGAACTAGGGGATTAACATGGACATAATGCACTTGTTTACATAACCACATTATCTCTTATTCGTTCTACCTCCAATGCTTTCAGACTGCTTTTAAAACAATATCATGTTTGTCGATCACAGTTCTATGTAGCTTGATGTCTCATGGTAATTTAATCAATCTAAGCAACAATAAATATTTCTGAATTTTAGCGACAATCGTTCGCCATTGCTGCTCTTTAAAACTACTATGACGTGCAGTAACAAATTGAAATAAAATCGTTTAACAGTTGATTTCACTTGGTTGATTTTATTGTTCGGAATATTCAGCAGAGCGAGATAGAAATTGACATTCTCATGACTTACGACTTTGCATTAGTGTTCATCGTCTCTACAATGCTATTTGAACAATATTTGGTGACAAAAGACGGCATTTCTATGTATAGCTTCAAAAGCCATCAAATAACAAAAACATGGAAGATAAAAAGATCCTCAGTACTGGGTCTAATAATTAAAGAACACTTAGTTTGAACCCGGGTATATTCTCTCTCTCCTTTACTCCCTCGCTATCTGTATTTCTCTCTCTCCCCCCCCCCCCACACACCTTCTCTCTTTTTCTTTCTCTCTCCGTCTCCCTCTCTCTCACTCTCTCTGTCTCTCTCTTTCCTTCCTTGTCTCTCTCTTTTTCTTTTTCTCTCTCTCCTTCTCTCTCTCTCTCTCTCTCTCTCTCTCTCGTTTATTCTTACCAAACAGGGCCTCATGGAAGACCACGAAATTGGTGATATGTGTCACCCTGTATAAATATCAGAAATAAATAAAATAGATATATAAATTTGTTCCTGATGAAAAAAATATTAGGTAAGGGGATGTGTGGAAATTTTCTTCACAAAATTCAAGTTTGTATTTTTTTTCTGTACAGTCATTGATACTGTATTTCCTTCAAACTTTCAGTGATTTTCTTTTCTCATTTTAATATTTGTTTTGTATAAACCAACTTAATGCCAGAGTGAAAATTCCTCTCCATGATAACCAGAGATTTTAGAAAGATATGACGTCTTTCAAGTCCGGTTCGTTTCTTTCAGTTGTTTGATTTATTATAAAAGCATCGCTTAGTATGGGGGTATCAAGTTTGCCAAATAAGATTTCATGAAAGGAAAGAGACCGATTTTTTAGTGCAAACTTACGTCTATTGACAGTAGAACGATTGTACAAATATTTCCAATTGGGTTATGTTGACAATACCACGGAAATTATATCGGGATTTTCCCATATTTTTTTCTTTTCAGGAATTTAATGTGGAAAGAAAATCAAGTTCAAGTTTCAAGTTTCAAGTTTATTTCACATTTCACAAATAAAAAGAATTCACATAATTGACAAAAAATAGAACATAATATGAAATATACTAAAAGTGTCACATTATATAATTAATTCTTTGAAAAGACGTCGAAATTAATTGTAATGAACATAAGGTTATACAGAGTGAAATGTGAGGAACCTATTAAAAAGCTTAGCTTGTAGATTATAGGTTCCCATAAATAAAACTAACATTTGGTTGAAGTAGTTGTAATGTTAGAGGACGTAACAGTAATAATCGCAAGAAGCCTTAACATAAGATGATTATACAACGTGAAACAAGCAAAAATAACAAAAATAGCAAATACAGCAAGCAAATTAATTTGTTACCAAAGAAATGAGACAATGGTCACTTTAAAATATTGAGGTCATTAAACGAGGTCATTGAACGAGGTCATCCGAGCGAGGCAGTAGACATGAACAATCATGTTACAGTAGTGTACACAATAACGTAGACCGTAGCCCAGACACAATCCTGTTTCCAAAATGCATTCGAACCCACCGACGCACGTCTGCTCCCAGAGAGCCCCAAGGCACGCAAACGCATTCACCCGCGCCACGCCCCACGCCTCCCAGTGAGTAAGCTGATCAATGGAAAAAAAACTGTTTAGACCAACAAAACCACTGGCCGAAATAGAATGAGGGAAGGAGAGGATTTCTTTTTTTAAGTATAAGGTTCGAATAAGTTCTTCAATCTATAATATTGAATTAACTCTACAAGACTACTGTGATGACGGAATTATTGGTCCCGACTCCCAGTATTTTTTCCTACAAATTATCAGGATTTCTCTAAGTTTTATTTGTTTTAATGAGACAAATTGAAAAGCTTTTTTTTTCGTTTCCCCCTCGTCCCTTGAAATAAGCCTTCTTTGAAATAATTAGGTTTAAGGATAGTGTAATGTTGGTGATAGGATTTGGAAGATTGAACATGACCTATAGGATTAATGTCGTATAGGGTCGATTCCGAATAAGTACTTTTTACCTATTTATTTATTTACAGTTTAATTTAAGCAGGGTTGCCTATTGCCTTAGTATGGCGTGTGCTTGTTTCTCTGACTAGGGCGGGCACATTCAAGTCCGAAATCTGATGAACACCCTCCCCACAAAAAATATCTTTATAAATGTTAAGAAGGTCGTCTTAACCCTAAAATCCATTTGAGTATTGATCATGCGTGCCTTATTGCTTTTTTTGTGTACAGAATGCCAGATGTAATATTCGCCCATTGTTATTATGCAGTACAATGTATTATGTACATAATGTGTACGCTGTAATATTGCCATTACATTGTAGGTGCCAATTCATGTACTTCAAGGGCGACCTCCGAGATTTACCCGAGATTTACTCGAAACTTTTTTTGGTCTAGGCGTGACCTCCTGACCTCGTGTACTTTGTTTCTCGGCCTTAGCATTATTTACAGATAGAAGGATTTGCTGGATCTAGCCGAATCGGGTAGCGGAATGATTTAAAAAAAAAAAGAAGTTATATTCAAGTCTTTGCAAGTCAGTGAGGTTACGATCATTAATATTACAATATAATAATTGGTTGCTTGTTTAATAGGGTTGGTGTCATCGTCAATCCTTCAGTCCACCTTTTTCCGTCTCGGAGCTCGTTCTTGAACAATATTAAATTTGTTACTCAATTTTTTATTTTTTTTTGGTGTTTTAAAATTTTATATTCTTATCATGTAAATGTTTTGTAAATATTGTGATTCTTGATGATTTGTTTAATAAAAACATTAAAAAAAAAAAAAGACGGTCGTCTTATATAGTTTCAGGCGCTTCTTGACTAAAATATCGCTGAGAAGAGGAAGAAAATGAAGAAGAAGAAGATAAGAAAAGGAAATGGAGAAGAAGAAGAAGAAGAAGAAGACGAAGAAGACGAAGAAGAACAAGAAGAACAAGAAGAACAAGAACAAGGACAAGAAGAAGAAGAAGAAGAAGAAGAAGAAGACGAAGAAGAAGAAGACGAAGAAGAAGAAGAAGAAGAAGAAGAAGAAAAAGAAGAAAAAGAAGAAGAAGAAGAAGAAGACGAAGAAGAAGAAAAAGAAGACTGAGAAGAAGGAGAAGAAATAGGAAGAAGAGCAGGAGAAGAAGGAAACGGGCTACCATATCTTTAGTTGCCAACAGGATAGAAATGTGCTGCAGGAGAGTTTTTTCCTTTATGTGCTCCTAAGGTCCTGGATCCGTCACGGAATTCATTTAACAAAGTGCCATGAACTTGAAAAGATTTTGAGGCAAAGCATGAGATCCACGCCACTCATTTCCCACCCACAGAAACAAACGAATTGACATAATACGCTTGGGAGGGCAAAACGGACAAAAGATTTTTGTTTGATATGTCCTTATTCTCGGTGAACCCTACCAGAACAAAGCCTGGAAATATTATTGCAAAAGGATTGTGAACTTTAGTACCAGTTTTCGGCGATGCTGATGTCATTCGATCCCATTCATTGCATGAATGAGCCGGAGTAGTATAAAGTCTCCTATAAAACCAAATACTATTCAGAAATCAAAAAGTATACATTCTGTTTGAGATTGGTAAACTGGAATTTTTTTAGTCGTGCACAACTTATGATTATCGAAAAGAAAGCGTTAGGAATCAACTACAAATCAGAGTTCAATAAGGTCTTGGTCCTGCTCAGTATCAAGCAATGGGTGTGACGTATACCTTTCTATTCATGTTGCTTGCTTTGCATTTAAGACCTGGATATTGCTTGTCAAAGGTAAGTTATTATTTGCTTTCTATGATAATAATAATAACTTTTACTTATATAGCACTTTTCATATGAGATTTATATCAAAGCGCTTTACAATATTGAAGCAAGTAAAACTAAACAGAGTAATGACAAGAGAACAAATTTAAAGTGAAAATTTCAAACATAAGATAACAAGGTAAGGTTACAATTTAGGAACTAGGTTGAATATGCCTTTTCCATTAAATAGGTTTTTAAATTTGATCTAAACAAAGTAATATCAGAGATGCAACGAATGGAGGCTGGAAGAGAATTCCACAAACGTGGAGCAGAGCATGAAAAGGACCTCTCACCAAAGTATTTTGTTTTTGCTTTTTAACGGTCAAGAGAGTTTGATTTGCAGAACGAAGGGGCCTATTTGGTGTGATATAACTGAATCATTTCAGAAAGATAATTTGGGGCATGACCATGTAGATACTTGAAAGTTAAAAAAAACTTTGAACTGGACGCAAACGTTTTTTAAATGTTATTTATTTTTTAGTTCCATGATTCTGTGGTAAAATAATAATTATGGTATAGTATAACGACAGACGGGTGAGAATTTAACGAGGGCCAAGGAAGATGGAAGGCCTGGGAAACTGTAGAGAATCATGGAAGATACAAACTAAAGACAACAATTGATAAAGAGGAGATAGCTGAACACAAACTATAGACGTGAAGTAAAGTAATAATGATTTGGCTTTTTATTGAAAAATTAACAGATCAGTAACGGAGTCCAGATAATCTGACCAGGAGGGTGTTTCACAAAGATCCTAAGTTGAACTTATCTCTAAGTTGGAATTAACAATTATAGAAAGCCATCAGCATCCTTAAAAATATTTTGTAAAAGTTATTTTAAAAGGCATAAAATGTTGATTCAAATCATTCATAGTTCCTACTACCCTGTAAGATTTCATGTTCTTGGCGTGGAATTTATGAAAAGTCTAAATTACTTGAATTTTTGCTTTTGAATATATTTCATTATGAGGCTACAAATGGCTCTCCATAATATTTAAGTCCGACTTAGAGTTAAGTTCGACTTAGAATCTTTGTGAAACACCCCCCAGGGGGACAAGTTCAAAAGTTCTTTGACAATCAGGCAAGCAAGGAACAACAACAACAAACACAAAACCGGGAAACAATTAGTGGGCATTTTTTTATATTTTTTTTAAAACTTAATGTGAACTTAATAATCTACTCTTATTTTTGTCTTGCCTCTATAATTATGATACAAAAGGTAATGGAGCCTGAAGATCTTCCAACCTTTAAAGCAATTCAATACGAACGCTCATTAAATCTCATAGAGAAACAAAGGTGTTAGGGCGATTTTTACCCGCCAGACGATTTCGTGAGTATTTACCTATTATGTGGTTAAGGCCGTTATTATGTCAATTCAATATTAATTACTTAGCCAATAAGTCATAATTTCCGCATTCTTAGAGGATAAATACTCTTTTTTTTTCTCCAAGTTTACATAATTCGGGTTAATATCAACCTAGGGTAAAAAATGTCAATGAGGAAATCAATAGTAAACCAACCCAGTGCTTTACTCATATTGTTATCCCTGTTATACCTAATTAAATATCAAGAACGTTAATCATAATAATTTGGAAATTCTTTTCCCGGATACATAACCTGAGGCGGTCAACAATAAAATGCAAGCAGCATAACACGCGAAATGCATCATCGCACATTAAAATCATTGTTTGATTTTCATCAGCTAAACGAAAAAAAGAGGAGAAGGGGATAACATTGATAGATTAATAAACAGGTTGTGTGTGCGCGTGTGTGGGTTTGGGTGAGTGGGCGGGAGAGAGAGAGAGAGAGAGAGAGAGCCGGAGAAGAGAAGGAAATTGTTGTTATATTGATCAACCTATGTTGGTCCCACCAATTTTGGGTAGATAAACAAGTCACAGTCAGTGGGAGATCTAAGATTTTATTCCGTGGGGGAGCAAGCATATTTTGTGTAAATAAACGACAAGTAACAACAAGAATATAACAAACTAAACGAAACAAACTAAAGCCATTAAAAATAATATTCATGTTTAGCGTTCCCGCCCGCTTCCTTTTTGGGGACCGCCTACTTTTCTTTTATTTTCTTTTTTTCCTATTTAAAAAAAAGAAAAAAGAAAAAAAAAGGCCTCCTCCTTCCTTTCCCCCCCCAAAAAAAAGGCAGGACGTTTAAATATTTGGCCTTACATCACCGGGAAGGGGGTACATGTGTGTGTGTGTGTGTGTGTGTGTGTGTCTAAAAGTACTAACCTTTTAATGGGGTACATGCCCCTTGTACCCCCTTGGATCAGCCAATAATAGTCTTGAAGACTGTAAAAGTAATGAACCTGTAACAACTCATATGGAATCAGCGTGGATTGGTTGTTTACCAATATAGAACTTTTCTGTCATACCCTATTTGCCATGAATTGTGTCATGTAATCTCTACCTAATCCTTTCTAACATTATTTTTGCTTCCTAGTATCATGGAATGTTGACAAATGATGAACTTGGTTCTTACTCAAAGAAAGATCAGATAAAAGGTGAGAAACAGCTTTAAATGTTTGGCTCCCGGGAGTATTTTCAGTTTTCTAACTAGCTTTTAATTACAAGATAGAGCACGCGATCTCAATTTACTGGATGTAAGTGTAAGCCGGCATTCTTTACAAATTAAAAGGTGATAGTTGGTATCTTTTATGAAGACATTTCATTTTAAACATCCTTCTAAATACTTATGTTCCTCCGAGCTTATAGAAATACGGAATCGAGAAGTCCAATGACGCTTTTGATCAAATAGATTTCTATTTCGTACATAAAGATATGGATTGTGTTGAGACAACGTAATATGGTTTAAACTGTGCTTGTTAAACGATATTGCATCAAGAGTTTATGATTATATCAGCAAATAATTACAGTCTATCGCTATAGGATGGTTTCCTCATCCAGAACAAACAGAAATTTTGCTTCATTTTAAACCATAATGACACGTACAAAACAAACATGCCTATTACCAGGAGAGAATAGTTAAAGATTTTAACTTATTGCCCATCATAATATCACACCAATTTTATATTTTTCTTTATTTTTTTCTTTCTCATCCTCTTTTATGATATTTATTAGCATAACAACCAATACAAATAAATCAAGGTTTTACATCAGCCATTGGTAGAATTTTTTAAACTTTACCTTCTTTTCCCAATTTATAGTTACTGACACTTTCCAAATATGACTTAAAGTTTATAGTGACATCATATTTGGAAAATTTAAGTAACTATAAATCTTTTTCTTTAAGGCGAATTGATGTTGTATGCCATAGCACAACAAGAGGACGAGTATATGGTTGATTAAAACCAGTAGTTTCGTAGCACGTAGTATAATGTCTCAACTAAAACGTGCAAGAAGCCGCTTCTTATATTTTGTGAACAAACAATCAACAAACGTAGTAGAAACTACAATATTTACCAATAAACACTCAAATAAGCCTTTTCACTTTTTTGTGTGTCCATAACCGAATTCGCGAATTGAAATCACAATACATATTGTCATATTTGCATGGTACAGTAGTAGAAGGCCTAGTTACCTGCTCAACCAGAAAATTTTGTTCTATTTGGTGTAAAAGGGTTATGGGTAAGTCGATGCAGACCCCGATGTTTCCCTTCAAAGAATATGCCCCTGATTAATATATTTGTTTACATATTTTAAATATTTGCTCAGTTTGTTTTTACATTTCCCAGTTTAACCCGCATGCCTTCATATTATGGAAATTTTCAATTAACCCTTTAATACGTGATAGGTGGTAAATTTTCATATCTTAATTCTTTGCAGGATTAAATCTAACAGCACTTGTAACACTAATTAGCATAAAAATAAGTATTTACAAAAACAGGAGAGAATAGTTGAAGAATTTCCATTATTGCCCATCAGATTTATAATCATATTAATTTATTATCTGTATGGCGAATCAATTTTGTATGCCGTAGCAAATCAAGAAGACGAGTATAGGGTTGATTCAAATCAGTAGATTCGTGAAATACCACGTAGTATAATGTCTAAACGAAAAAGTGCAAGAACAAACATTCATATATACAACGATTCAACACGTAGTACATACTACAATATTTACCAGTAAACACTAGAATTTGCATTTTCAGTTCTATATCACACATTAGTTTTTGATTGCAGAATTTGTGAACTGAAATACACAAGTGTCACATACATGTTTTTGTAGAACTTGGGCCTAGTTACTTTCTCAAGCAGAAATAATCGGTCTATTGTGTGTAAAAGTGTTGGGTTAGTTGTTCAAAATACAGGCCACGACCTTCCCCTTTAAAGAACAGGCCTCCCCCCCCCCCCTCGAAATGCATGCCTTTTGTATTTAGCACGTACACAAATTGTTTGGAACCAGCAACCATGAAAACTGAGCCAGTGTGACGTCACACTTCGGAACTGTATGACAACTTGTGGTAGATCTATGGAGTGGGGTGTGAGGGGTAGGTAACTCTTTATCAACATTTTGTTAATCCCAGCTTTTGAGTATTTAAAGGTGTATTTATGTGATAAACTTACATTAACATTTTACTCATCTATATCTAGAATATGACATCATCCTGCCAAAGATACATGACCCTTCAAAAATGTCAAAGCGGAGCACAGATTCGACCAATCACAATGAGCAACACAGAGTCACCTTCACAGCATTCGAAGAGGAGCATCACGTGGTTCTGGAGAAGAATCATTGGCTTTTGAGACCCGGCTTAGAAGTGGAGTATCTACAACCGGATGGATCGATCCGGAAAGAACCGGTTCAGACTAGAAACTGTCACTTCTTTGCGACTTCTATCTCCCATGGCGGATCAAAGGGAGCACTGAGCACTTGTAGTGGATTGGTGAGTTAATAATCTTGATTCTTGTGATGTTGAATGAATCGTTGACCAAAGTTGAACCAAATCAGGCTATTTAGGCCTACCTATTCATTAAGATATGGGAACTTTGGGACAAAGAGGATGAGAAATATAAAGAGAGAAAGAGGAGGGAGGAGAAGAGAGAGAGAGAGAGAGAGAGAGATAGAGAGAAAGAGAGAGAGAGAGAGAGAAAGAAGGACGAGAGGGACGAGCGTATAAGGGTAATGGGTTAGCGAACCACTAAAAATTAAAGTATTTATATAATTATTACGATTTTCTCATTTGTATAGAGAAAGAGAATTTTTGAAAATGAACCCGGAGCTAACAGAATGAGAAAATCCAATCTTAAGGGCTTACGATTGTCGGTCTTGACAATGTCATACTATTTGTTTTGTAGTTCTTTAAATAACTCCTCTATTTTCATGATGGAATTAATCTAACCAAAGAATTATTAAATTGAATGATGTGTTAAACATCAAGGGGTATAAATAATAAAACACGGCCTAAAAATTCTTTGATTGTTCGAGCACCTTTTCATTTCAGAGAGGAGTGTTGTCATTGGATGATGACATGATGTTCATCGAACCATTAAAAGAAGACCATGCGAGAAGAATGAAGAGAAACATTGATGATACAACCCATCCGCATCTCATTTATAAACAAGCTGCCGATGTTGACGACGAAGATGACGTGTGTACAGTTGGAGACCGTAAGCTCCCCTATCAGTAATCCATTTATTCATCAAGATATAAGACGAATTAATCTAATGTTGCTTTGACTGATTCAGATACGAAATATGACCTGTGTGGAAGAGGCAGAAACAGGATTAAAGTGACCGTTTAAGATGTATATATTTCGAAAATTAAGAACTTTTTGAAAGATCACTCTTTCTCATAACATTGGCAATATTCTCTTTTGATGTACATATGCATTTCCTTACATGGACTAATCTTCCATTCGTTTGGTACTAATAATAACACCACTCCTCTCAGATTACTTTTTCGAATCATCGGGTCTTCGCGTCCGGTCGGGTGGTCGCGTACCACGACCTCTCGTGAAACGAAAACGGAGGATCATGACTTGTGAAGATGCATGTTAAGGACGCGATTTTCGCTAATTTTCCGTTCATAGGGTTTTCACAAAGTGTCGGGTAAATTGGACTAGACCATTTTGTAGATGAGAGTGGTTATTTCACAAACATTACCCCCGACATTTCTTGAATAAAAGTCGGGTAACGCGACCATTCGACCCGACGCGTTGCCCCGATTTTTCAAGGTAATTAGCCTCTCAGATCCTAACTATGAAATACACATTTTTTTGTGACTAGAAGATAATTCAAAGTGTTTTTTCCAGCATGATATTGGCAAAAACAGAATAGGAATCATAAGATTACTTTCCATAAAAATATGCCAATAATGAAAATGAAAATGAAAATAGGGACACCTCACACACCCTTGAAATATTGGGTAAATTCAGTTGATCAACATGCGCTTGTTGGTGAAATATTTACCAATCTGTTCGCTATTTCTATCCAGGTAAAGAGATCTATACCGATGTGTGTCAATTATCATATATTTACCAAGAGTATTTGATAAACTAGGGTTGAGAAAAATTTGCCCCTTTATTTCCTCTTTTTATTATCAAGTTGGCTAAAGTTTGTTGGTCAAAAAATAGCAATAGGTGAAGCTTAAAGTTAATCCAAACTGATGCAAGATAAAACTATACCCAAACATTTTATAAAGATATTTGAGTTTGGTCGATGAAACATTAAATGATGATGGGACCTTCTGGCCTATAACCAAAGAAAACTAATTTTCTGTCCTTTTATTAACATTTAGTACCAGTTGCAGATAATGGTGGATCTACAGGAACAGTGATTCTAGCCAATGAAACTACTTACAATGGTCCTTATCTTGGCGCTAAATACATAGAAATCTTCTATGTGGTGGACAAGCTTGTTTATGACGAACATTTGGGAGAAACTGAGAGTTACGCTACTACTATTTTGAACATTGTAAGTACATGTTTATTTCCAATATATTAAGATAGGCTATGCCTGTGATATATTGTGGAGCAAACTTAGAAGTGTCGTAGTCCAGTGGTTTAAGCACTTGACTTAAAATTCAAAAGTCGTGGGTTCGATATCCCCGACACGGCACTAATGTCCTTTGATTGTAAATAAAATTGTTTATTATTCTTTGTAATGTACCCTTGAGGGCTTGGGAGGGGGGGGGGGTAGCGGGAGAGGTTGGCGAGGCGAGAGGGGTCGATAAGGGGATAGTGCATTGGTAAATTACTATGATTGAAAATTAATGTTGTATGTAAATTAATATGATGTTTAGCTTTTGGACCCCATGGAAAAACAGGACCATTTTGAAACTCATCCTGAAATGGGCTATTTAATCGCTTGTCTATACTCAACACATTTACTTACATTTTTATCACTTGAAATGTGTTTTTTATGTATTCTTTTTAAACTTGTATGCATATATGGATCTCGGAAATAAAAACATAGAAACAAACAAAGGGCATTAATCTACATTTGCCACTTAAAAGAGAGAAATGGGGACCCGGTTTGATGACAAAAGCATTTGTGTTAGAAATTGCCTATGCCTTCACGGTGACCATATGGTAGGAATACTCCCACAGAGAGTGGAGTTGGTGCACATTGTGCGTGAATGAATCCAATGACCGGGGTAACATTATTTGTAAAGCGCTTAGAGACGGTATAAGTTCGTTTTAAGCGCTATTTATTTCCGGATTATTATTATTAAACTTATATTCACAATAATCGTCCGCGTAATAAATGAAGCTGTTATTTTCTTCTTTTTCGTTTGTTCTTTTGTATTTTTTCGTTAATATTTACAGATTCTTTAAATAATATGTGAAGAAAAAAAAAGGTTTCTAAGTCAACCTAAATTCCCCTTGGGATCGGCGTTAAGCTTTATAAAGTAGCCAACGAATAAATTTACTTGAGATTACGTTAAGATACTACGACTATTTTTGACAACTCTATATTTTACGGTCACATTACAAAAAGATATATATTTTCCGGCAGCCAGTCACAGCCTGTTATTTTAGCTCTCTTTAACTTTCATTTATAATGTCTGATTTCAGTTGCTCCACTTTCATCCTTGTGATTTACTCTGATGAGTACAACATGGAAAGCTTAAGTATTCACTGCTAATATATGATACATTATTTCTTTCTTTTCATGTAATCATAGATGAGCAGACGATTCGCTGATCCGAGTCTCGATATCAGCATCCGATTCTCAGTGGTTCGTCTTCTTATCTCCACGACGACAACAATAACAGTAAGATAATATCATCGTTATGTCCTCGTTCGTTGAACAAACATGGGTTATACTCTTTTTCAGTTTCGTAAAGTATTTCATATCAAAATTGTGAGGTTTATTGTGTGTATAATCAGAATTTACCAAATTAGCGATTCGTTTATATTGATGATAAATTAGGTCAATGGGTACATTACACCAACAATAATTTACCTATATCTATTGTGTAGAAATATATAATATCTATATATTTCTATTCAAAATATTAACCTTGAGTTATCGTAATGTGATAACTTGGTTTTGCTTGCATAAAGATTTGCAGAAGTTTAAGATTATAAATAAAAGAGTCATATTAAGTGTTTTTATTGACATAAAATACATTTCCAATATTCCGTAATAAAGACTTTACATGGAAAGTATGTACCTCAACACTAGGGAGATGCATTATTTTTATAGGACAGATGTTCGACGGTCACACAATGTTTCAAGGCACCGTGTGCCATTGTGTGCCATAAAAAACACAAATCTGTTTATCTCCGATTAATTCACTCATTGAGTTGCTTCGTTAACCCCCACTCTCTCTCTCTCTCTCACACACACACACACATACACAAACACACGCGCGCACACATACACACCCACTCTCTCCACTATCCCTCTCTCTCCCTCTCTCACACACACACACACGCACACGCACATACACACTCTACACACTCTCTCGTTCTCTCTCCCTCTCTCTCCAATCTCCCTCTCTCCCACTCCCCTATCCCCTCTCTCTCTCTCTCTTTCTCTACCTCCCCCTCTCTCTCTCTCTCACCCTCTCTCTCTCTCTCTCTCTCTCTCTCACCCCCCCTTTTCTATCTCTCTATCTCTCTTTCTCCCAGGCGACCAACCCCTCTGGTGGTGAGGAGAGTATAACACCTGATGCTGTTGCCGATACGACCCTCCCAAATTTCTGTACCTGGCAAGCCTCATTAAGTGTAGATGATGACACCGATCCTAATGACTGGGACTTAGCCTTGCTCTTTACAGGGTCAGTAAAAACAAAAGAAAAACATTTTCGGAAAAGATTTATATCTACAAATCCCAGAAGATGGAATAGTCACAAATTTTGTTTATTTTGTATTGTGAGACAGATTTGTTTGCTGGACTGACGAAGGAATCATGAATAGTATTGAGAAGTCTTTCAAGTTCTAACTTCCTGGCTAGAAATCATTTGTTATGATTTCTATTGATACATACATTTTAAGAACACAAGTCATATAAAGTAAAAGCTGAAAATATTTGTAGTCTTCTTTTCATGAATTAATATTTCAAACGTTTCAAATTCAGTACATTAGAAAGGTGAAGACTTAGTAATCATTTGTGCCCGGTCTAATACAAAATGCGATTAATCCGCGGATTGATTACAAAATGTTCAAATCAGTCTCAAACTCATAAACTAATATCTTTTTATTTAAGAAAATTACAATAAAGTACGTTTTGTAAGCAATTTGAAATTTGACAAATGAAGAACAAAAATTATTCGTCACAGATTAATGAAATAATTCCTAAAAAGGCATTTATGAAGGATTTATACATTTTTTTTAATTACATTAGGAAAGTAGCCATTTCTTACTTCCTTATTTCCTTCCAACAGACACGATATCTACCGTGATAACATGGTTTACAGTTTGCTAGGTCGGGCAAGAGTTGGTGGAACTTGTAACGTCGATAGTAAGTGTTCTGTCACCGAGAATAGCGGTCTATCAGCAGGTCTTACTATGGCGCACGAAACCGGACATTCGTAAGTCATTTCAATAGGTGCTCTGGTTGAAAAAAAGAAAGAAAATGAATTCTCACAGAATAAAAATGAAATTTACACTGAATGTTAAAGATTACAAATAAATGTCATTTGCCAAAAAAAAATGGTAGAAAATGAATAGTGGCTGAGTAATGGGCATATAAAGGTAAGGAAATCAAGGTAAATAGGCCCGACACCATTTGTGTAGTCCCATATGCATCTTTTTGTGTACAGTGCTTGTTACTTTACCAAGACTGGGCCAAATTTATTATGATTTTGATGACTCCAGAACCTTGAAGTACACAACAATACTTACACTGTCGCTCATAAAGGTGGAATATTTTTTTAAATCCCAATTTATGGAATTATTTTAAAAATAATTTAAAAATAATAGATCTAGATAATAGTATACATTCCTAGATTTTCTTGAATAACAATTTGCCATTTTGTGTTTTGCGTGACTGCTGAAGCATGTGTATGCTACTATGCTAATCAACTAGGGGACCTATGCCCTTAAGTCATAAATGACAGTAATGAGGTTTAATGCCCCACAAAAGGGCACTAATATAGCACATCGACACGGTTTTGATCCAGGGGCCTCACAGTTACGAGGCCATTGCTCTGTCACTGAACCATGACTGTACGCAGCGGGGCTAGGGTACGGGGCAGTTTCCATAAATAAAATGAAAAACAGAAAATGCAATAAATTCTCAATAATTTATTGCATTTTACCCTGGTTCCCAACATAAAAAAATATTCTGTGTGCCCATGCCTTGAGCCATAATGCATGGCCGTCCAGAGGATTTGTTCATGTTGGGGACCGGGGTAAAATGCAATAAATTATTGAAAATTTATTGCATTTTCTGTTTTTTTGTTTATTTATGGAAACTGCCCCCTACCCTAGCCCCCGCTGCGTACAGTCATGGTTCAATGACAAAACAATGGCCTCGTAACTGTGAGGCCCCAGGATCAAAACCGTGTCGATGTGCTATATTAGTGCCCTTTTGTGGGGCATTATTCCTCATTACTGTCATTTATGACTTGAGGGCGTAGGTCTCCTAGTTAATAAGCATAGTAGCATACACATGCTTTAGCAGTCACGCAAAATACACATTGGCAAATTATTATTCAATAAAATATGAGAATGTATACTATTATCTAGATCTATTATTTTTAAATAATTTTTAAAATAATTCCATAAATTGGGGTCAAACTAAAATATTCCACCTTTATGAGCGACAGTGTACATGCTACATGATCAATTTTTTCTGATCCATTCCACACCTTTTTTTTTTCACAATGCAATCGCATGACCAGAACTCAACTTTATCTTTAATTAAGATTTTAACTTAATATGGAACAATGCAAGTAATGGGATATATCACTCGTATATGTTAAACATACACTTGGACTGCTGTTTTTTCAATAATCTGTCAAAATAGGACATTAAAAATACCACAAGAAGATTAGAATAAGAATATCTCCAGCACCTTGTATTGAACTTCTTTTTTTTTTTTGACTAACTAAATAATAATAATATTCTGCTTTTATATAGCGCTTAGTACAGAATATACTTAACCATGAATTCAAGAAAAATCGGCATTTAACTAGACTTGTTGTTTCTGAGAAGACATACTCTGTGCTGCTTCCTTGTTACTGAAAGAAGACAATTCCATTTGTTTATTGTTTTGGCAGGAGTAAAGCAGTAGCGAACACCATATTATAGGTATCCTTGTTTCGCAGTAAAGGTTATATTTTAACTTCGTGCATTGTTAAGTGGGAGAAAGATGGATTTCAGGTAGGCTAATTAGCCAACAAACAGGAGAACATTGTCTCTCATCCCCAGCAAGTTTCCACTGTCTACATTATTTTGTTGGACAGGTCATTATAGTTCATTTATGGACACTGGTGAACTTTTGAGACTTGAGAAGAAAAAAAAAGATCGTAATGCACTATTGCCAGAACTCAAGATTGTTACATTTTTTAATCTGGGTGACGTATTGCCCATGCTCTTCAAGACATACCAATCTAAACTTCCTAATTGAATTTCTTCTGTATCTACACGTGCATGACAAATTTCCCCCATGAAAGTCTGTGGAAGCCAATTACCCGACTTGAACATTATTATTGCATTCATTCATTCCCAATCGTATTATTCTGTATTAAAGTGTTTTTTTTAAATCTGCACCTTTGTTAGCCTTGGGGTGAGTCACGATATAAGCTATGGATGTACAGAAGGTCTAAACATCATGTCTACCAGTTCAGCACGGAGTAATGGAGCATTTGAATGGTCATCATGCAGCTCAGAACATATGAAGATCTTCATCAGGTTAGTGATATTGCGTGTAATTCTTACATTCAATGACTGTTTTGTAAGTTTGAAGAATGATGAGCGGAAAATGGTGTGTGACTTGAGTTCTTAGTTTGTATTCTAGAAGAGATACTACGAAAAGAGAATGTCACACAAGATCACTCGACTGCGAGAATGATATACTTTGACTCGTTCTTCTCCTTTCAGTTCTTCGTCATCGTAATCTTTATTTTATTTACCTATTTCCCGGACCTATTTAGCGTAATTTCATTTCTATTCATAGATTTTTTCGTTCATTTTAAAATAATTATTATCAATAATTTCGCTTTTCTATCTTTACCCTCAACGCTGTTGTTGAAATTGGCCATACACGCATGGTCCTCATGTGTGAAAGACATATTAGATGGATTAGGAGCTATCATATATATTTTTCAAATCGAGAAATATTATTAATATCATTTTTAAGAGAGTTTAAAGTGGCAATTCTGACCAATATTCGGCAAGGTAAACGAGTTAAAATAGTTGGTATACGGGAAGTTTCTCTGCCGTATAGACTTTCTGACCAAAACTGGAACAGGAATCAAAAAGATAAACAATTACCAGGTTTGACAGACCCCGGTGCAACTACTTACTCTCATTGTTCATAATTATCATTAAATGTCTCGGTTTCACAAGACTCATGGTCGACTAGACCTGTAGTTTCAAAGGGACAACACCCATAGGCCCGAATTCACAAAGGAGGTTTGTCGACAAACCTCCTTTTGCTTTTTACGAACCAAGGTTTGTAAAAACGCGTCGAAACGCGTCATATGACGCACATAAACCTGGGTTTGTCGACAAACCTCCTTTGTGAATTCGGGCCGTTGTGTTTCATATATAGGACGGGGTCAACAACACACCAATAAGATCTGGCAAATGAATTTCATATTATATTCACATTAGACACTCTCAAAATTTTCTATAGAGTTTGTAATTTGTTTATTTCAGCTCTCGAGACTGTATGGATGATTTTCCAACTACTGCCCTGGCTCCCATTCTAGAGCTTCCGGGTCAAAGTGTCGATGACCAGTGCAAGATGGTTCTTGATAACCCATTGGCCTACAGCTGCGCTTCGTTTGTAAGTTGGAAATTATTTCATTCTTTACCAGCTTTACAAAACCAAACCCTCTTCAAATTCTATTGCATGTACTGACATGATATACCCCTTGGCACATTTAAAATATTGGTCTTGAAAGAATAATTAGCCGTGGCTTAAGCTAAATTAGGATTTCCCTGCAGCTTACTTACAATGTTTCCTTGGGAACTTACGAAGTTTCCTAATACCTACAAATACAAATTCGCTTTCTCAGCATTCAGGTAAACATGCTCTACTTAAAACCTAATATATCTTGTTGAATAGTGGTCATATAAAGATAAAATGATTATTATTCATGATTTCATCGTAGCGGGAGGAGAGACCCGTCTCAGTGATTCAGATCACGATTTTCCCCTCCATGGCACAGGTGACGCCAAATACTACTACTACTACTGTTACTAGTACTACTTCTACCACTACTACTACTACTACTACTACTACTACTACTTTTACTACTAATAGTAGTGATAATGATGATGATAATGATATAATGATATAATGATAATAATGATATAATGATAATAATAATAAAATTATAATGATAATGATATTTTCAATTGATACAGACAACCTGCACTAAGTTGTCTTGCCGTACACCGGATGATTCTTCATGCTATTCTAGTTCGGTGCCAGCTGAAGGAAGTCAATGTGGAGATGGAATGGTACGTGTCTCCCTGTTCCTTACAGAAAAATCCAAGCCTGCCCTGCTGGAAAGAACACCCTCATTCACAGTGTGAATCACACTCTGTTTCACAGTGTGCTCCACAATGTTAAATTGGGGCGTTTTCACATTGTGGTCGATTCGTTTCACACTATGGTTCACAGTGTGGATAACCGGAAAAGGAAAGAACACACTCATTCACAGTGTGAATCACACTGTGTTTCACACTGTGAATGAGTGTGTTCTTTCCAGTAGGGTGATAGAAAACTACTCTAGAGGAAAACACACAAAAAAGAGAAGTAGAATGGAGGAAATCTGAATGAAATTGGGCGAAAATGAAAAAAAAATGGTTTAATTCTTGAAAATTGTTATCGCTATAGGTATGGGCGCTTCAAATTCGATGACTTTGAATGTCTCTGTGATCTATAGTGGTGGAAAATGAGAAGGTATTTAAGGATAAAAACATAAATTAATGATATTTATTTACACGAGAACGGTAGAGTTTCGCCACTACGTCACAATCCACTGATTTGAGATTCGCATACTAGAATTAGTGATCTCATATATTTCAAACAATCATAACCTTCTTAATATTGGTCCGATTTATTTTAAACTTTCTCCGTTCTGTTTATTCATCCAAATGAATTTATTACAAGGGTTGAATTGCTCTTTAATCTTGTTTGAGCTCGCACTCGTCTATTAAATCAACCTTGTCCCAGTTGTTTTGAGACTCCCCACCCCATCCCCTCCCATAATGATTTTCTCATAATAACCATGCCATAGATTAGACATCAACCTAATTCAGTTTTAAATTGTTTTACAGATATTCAATGAAGAATCAATTTGAATTTTGTAGACAATTTTGATTCAGCATGACTCTTTGATCCATTATATCTTCACAGTGGTGCATAAATGCAAAATGCGTGAGTACATCACTCGCACTGCCGTCAGCAGTGGATGGTGGATGGACCGAGTTTTGTGAAGAATTCTCGCCCTGCTCTAGATCCTGTGGGACAGGGGTTCAATACCGGAGTAGATCTTGTACAAATCCTACTACACAATGGGGCGGCGCACCCTGTGTTGGAGACAGTCATATCTACAAAATTTGCAATGAACAGGTAATGAACAATAACTTCTTCTGATTTGAAATTTAACGGCTTATTCAAAATTAAAATACTTGTACACTGTTTAAACTATTGCGATTTGGGGGGAAGCTTTTTGTATGTGGGTATGTGTGTGTTTTAGTGTGGTTTTTATTACATGAAATCAATGAATACTGGAACTAAATAACATTGTTTATGATAGATAACATTACTATGATGTAACATACCAATCCGTTTCTCTTCTTTTTTGAAAAACCATTGCGCCAATGTTATCTTTATTATTATTAATAATGGAATGTTCTGAGCACATTTATTCACCGAATCGACTTTACTCCGGTATTTGATGTGATATGTGATTTGATATCAGTGTTTGTATTTTTCTTTCCCCAAAAAGAAGAACAATTGATTTTAAAACGATACACTCTCTTTCGACTTTAGGACCTGCATAGTTGGTATTATGTAATAATTTTAATCACTTGTCTTACGCGTCTTCTTAATATTGAATTATGTATATCTTATGGTACTCTACAAACTATCCCCTTTTGAGAAGAGCCATCTACAGATCTTTGATTTCTTTTGGAAATTCGTTGAGGTTTTTTTTTCTTTCGGTATTGTATAATAATAATAATAATAGTTACATTTATAGGGCGCTTTATACAGACGTTTCTAAGCGCACAGGTGTATTCCTTGTATTCTCTGTTACACTCCTTCATGTTCCCGAAAATTAAATAGTAAAAATGAAATAAACTAAGTGATTTTTAAAGTTTATGGCACATTGCCACCTTTTAATTAATTTTTGTTTAGCCCTGCACGACTTCACAAGATGATTACCGCAACGAACAGTGTGCTGCAACAAATTCAATCCCATACAATGGTGTTCTGTACACCTGGACAGATTATCAACATTCTACTAGATTAGGTGAGTATCATGTTCTTGTTATATACAGCGTAAAGCAGGAAGTCGGGATCTTCCGATCATACGAGATAAAAGACATGGGATTTGGAGGTGGAGGGGTGTAATATTTCTCTTAATATTATTTTATTCTTTTCCCTCTGTTTAGCCGTTTCTCATATACCTAATGATCTATCTTTTCCTGTTGCCGTTCGATGTGTCTACGTGCCCCCGACCCACATACACACATGCACACGCACACACACGAACATACACTCCAGCGGTTGCAAATATTTAGCCATGTTAAAGGACGTATTTAGAGATTTAAAATTGGCTTGAATGAAATTGGCTTGAATGAAAACTGAATTATTAGAAGCCAGGGTAATAATCGGGAGCGCCAGGAGGGTCAAATCTGACTGACATGAGCGCTAAACAAGAACCCACTATTATTATTATTATAAGTGAAAGTTAGAGAAAAATATCGGAAAAAATAAAAGACGGTTTAAATTGTTTAGTTAAAGTCATGGAGAACCGAATAATAACAATTTGTTGATGTATTGTTACTCCATTTTTTGACAATTAGTTTTGGTTTCGCCGAAGATTTGTCATACTCAATAATGATTCAAAGTTATCATTGATGTAGAGCCTGGTTAGATTTCACCACATTGTGTATCCATTTTGTTATGACCCACGGGCCACCTCATAGCTCATTAATAGCCATTAAGCTTTATTCCTGTTGATTTTTTGAATAAAGCTACCATGAATCCAAGGGATGGTTTCGTTACCTTCCTATACATGAATTCTTTATTTTTGTACACTTTTTTTCTTCAAAGTTTTGGTTGATTATTACCTTTCATTTTTATGATACACAATATTTTTAATAATATTCTGGATATGAAATAACGTTCCTATATGCGGTTTCAAAGAACTTTCAACATCCTTAACCGAGTTGAGCTCCACCAACGGTAGGCCTACCGCTTAGTGCATTCGAGGGATTCAAGGGATAAATCTTACCAGGTGCTTATTCACCCACCAAGTGACAAAATTTCGATTACTAGTAATGTCATGACAAAAGCCATAAGTGTCGCCGCAGGGATTCGAACCCCGTGTGGTCCACGGTCCAGAGAACTACCCAGTAGACCACAATACTTCTACACGTGGCATCCGTGTGATAATATTGTTATATTTGAAAACATAACTCTTTGCAAGGGATTTAAGTAGTATGACGGTTTCTTGTAGGTGATGAAGTTTGCGGTATGAATTGTTTGGCATCGGGAGAAGATGGACCCTTTCTCAATGACAGACCAGGAAACTTCCATGATGGTACGCTGTGTTGGCATGAACCAGTGACTGACGCCACCAAATCATTCGAATTTACCAAGTCATTGTGTCTTAATGGAAGATGTCAACAGGTATCAATATATTTTTAATGAATTGAAAGAAAGCCTTAAAAATCACGATAAACGTATATCGAATTTGTTTAAAATGTGAGCAATGAATTTCATGACTTTCTTTGAACCGCATTGTCAGTGGATAGAAAGATTTACTTCGCTACCTTTATAACCAAACCTGGAGTATCAGCAGCATTATTTGTGCGTGTTGGCGGGTGTGTGGTCGTTTGTGTGCGGGTGTGGGTGGGGTTGAGTGCGTCCTAGTGTATTTGCGTAGGTGGGTATGTGGGTGAGTGTTTGTGCGTACGTGCGTGTGTTGACGGGTGTGTGCGTGATGCGTGCGTGCGCGCGCGTGTGTACGTGTGTGAGAGGTTTTATGTTTGTGGAATGAGGGGGAGGGGGAGGAAGAGAAAAGGGTAGAGATTTGTTGATGGTGGAATCTGGAATGGCACACACATGGATATGATGATTTCATGGAGGCGATGGGATATATACAATCATCCTGAAGCAAGACAAATCAAAAATCATTTTTAAAGAATAGTCAGGTGTATCATTTTTTAATCGTTTATTTATTTATTTATTTATTCGGTTTAAAAACATCAACACGTAAAGTTCAGGAACTCATAATGGTTGATTTACAATCGTCAGACGCAAGCCGAATATTCAAAAGACACCATATTTTTCACGGTTTAGTTTTAAAGTATTTGTCACTTTATCAGTATTCAGAACAATAAGTCCCAGAAATTCATGCCGGATACAATACCCAAAGAGCTCACGCAATCAGTTATCATATCTTGAAAATAAACAATAACTTATTTTCTCAATATATAAGAATATTAGAATACGGGTGTTCCTTTTGGTAGAGGAAGAATACACCATTTTCTTATCATAAATCTCATTTATCCGTAGAATTTTGGATGCGATGGAATTCTAAATTCAGGTCTTGCTTACGATCGCTGCCATGTTTGTAATGGAGACGGATCGTCATGTGCTTGTTCGACTCAGACACTGACTTCTGCTTCAGGAACTGGAGGTAGGACATGGGCTGATCAATGCCGCACTCTCTGTCCCTCTCTGTCTCTTTCTCTCTCTCTTTCTCTCTCTTTATCTCTCTCTTCCTCTCTCTCTCTCTCTCTCTCTCTCTCACTTTCTTTTTCCCCTTTTACTTCTCCCCTCTCTGACGAGAGTTTTCTCATTTTTTACGTCTACTGATATGAAATAATTGTACTTTGATATTACACATCATTTTCAATAATTTCCTTTAAAGTTGAATGAAAACAGTAATATATTTTATGATCCCTAATTACAGAGTCTGTGATTGCCATAGTTCCGATTGGATCGACCAGTGTTACAGCTGATAGTTATGGAAGCAACCATTATTTAGGTATGTATACAGAAAGTGGAGGCATGATGGCTTAGTGGATGAGTAAGAAGGTTAAAGATTCGAAACCTATACGTAAAACTATCCGATAAGACTTAAAGTCGTAGCTCACCTTGGTTGTTGGATTAAAAGTTTTCTTTTAGCAGCCACTTTTCAGGTTGTCCGCCCGTCTGTCTCGTCTGTCGTTACAGCGATAAACCGAGAACAACTAAACGGACTTTAACCAAACTTGGATCAGTTAGCTATGAACATGCTAGGATGAACTAACTGTTTGGGTTTTGAATGTAAGAAGCCAAATATCAAATGTCACGGGACCATGAAGTGCCCAAAAGGACCAGACATTATTTCGTTTTCAACGATACCATGAGAAGCAAAAAGATCAATTCAAACAAAACCTGCATGGATGAAGTGTGTATTTAAGCATGCAAAAGATCAAGTGATTAGATTTTGGGTGGAATAGGTCAAAGTTCAAGTATTATATATCACAGGGTTATCAAAGTATTATTGATCACAGAGATGGTATTATCATTGTGACTGACTTTATTCAACAACAAAATTAAAGAATATTTACCAAACTAGACTCAAGTATGAATGAGTATGGAAATATCAAATGAAAATAGTTTTGGTTCTTCAGGTAAGAGATTAAAGGTCACTTGATCATTACATATAGGCAGGTGCATAGAGACGCAGTCGCATTCATCATGTTGAAGAAATAAACTGTAAGCCATATTGATACTGTGTGCAATGTCAAGGTGATTTTATTAATCCTTAAAATGTTCATGAGCTTTGCCTTGACCTTTGTTATCATCTTTCTGATGGTTTCACCAGTTCTATAAAACTCACCTAAAAGTGGCTGATAAAAAACATAGACTTTTAAAAGGAGGCAATTTTTTCGTAGGCACATTTAGAAGATAATATTTTAGATTTTATCTTTCCAATATTTGAAAAAAATATTGGAAAGATCAAATAGTTTAGGATAACTTCAATTTCATTTAATCGAAGTCTGAACTCTTAAGACTCCTAAGGACCAAACAAAAGAAAAAGAAAAGAAGACAGAACAAAAAGGAAGGAAGGAGAGTTAATAGCATGTGATTGTATGTTCGTCAACCTTAAAGGTAATACAAAGTTTTGGTATGGGGTCATGAATTTGGTTCAAATGAAAATATTTGAAGCATATGTGATCCTACAATATTCATTGATTGTTGTTGCGGTTGAAATCGAGTCTAAAGTTATAAAATTATAAATAATAAACTCTTTATGATGTATAGCTCCCTCTCAAGGTCAAGATCTTAATTAAGCTACAAAACAATGTTTCTTGACTAAAATCAACCGATTAGCTATTCCCGTTTGAAAATTATATATCACAACTACATATTCTGAAATTTTCATGGACGCAGCTACCATTGTACGGCCGTAGGCGCTATTTGAAATTTATCAAAATTTACCGGGAGCACCGGTAAATTTTTATATTCAATTTTTCTCGAAAGCAGTAGTGTTTTAGGGGCTTAATTTTCGAGTGGTTATAATACATCCACAGGGGCATCTAAATATATCAAAATTGTAAAGAATCACTATCCATCCAATTTTCAAAATTTCCCAAAACTTTGTATTACCTTTAATTAATTTTATATCCACATTAAGTTCTGATATCGTCTTTTATCTACAGGACTTAGAGTAAATGGTATATTCATCTTTGGCGTGAACACAGATGGAAATTCTCTTACAGTAGGTGGTGACTACGAAATTGAAAACATGGTCGTTAATTACGATCGCATATTCAATGAAGAGACGCATATACGATCGCTCTCTGAACCTTCTACGGAAATACTTGACATCTTACTTTGGACGGGATCAACAACTGGATTAAATGTCACAGTCAGATATTGTACACCAGGTAAGACTCAATCTCTTAAAGTGACTCGGTAACATTGTTGAAGGTTGATGAAAAAATGACGTAATTTTTGTATGAAATGTTACTTATTATATTCCTTCTGCTGTACTAACCCTCTAACATGCGAAAAATCCCGAAAAATTCATAAACCACAAAGATATTTACGGGTTTCTTCGAAGGTGTCACTTAGTCTAGTTCTGGACCCTTTTATTGATTTTTGTTATTCGCCGACTATAAGCGTTAAGCCGAGTGATAGCGCGATCTTTAGTGACTGCGCGATCCCCACTAAAACAGTTTTTCCATGAAAATAAGACATAAGACAGGCTCTTAAAAATCCGTCAACACGTAAATGTCTGGAATGGTATTTAGAGCCAATTCATCGCTTTGTGAAGATATGAACTCTCCTAAAATGTAATTGAATTGTATTAATATAGTTGGGAGAAATGAGGAATCAATCAGATCAGTTTTTCCCAAACTTTCAGATTACCTTTATGTGTACATCTAGCATTGAAGTCACTACCTTCAAGCACCATTTAAACAATGTTGCAAAGTCCCTTCAAGATCATTCCGTCAATAGACGTTTTTTTCAATTCATTTGTACTAAACTTTCAACTCAGACTTAAAGTTCAATATAAACTGTAAAAACAGGTAACGTATAAGTGAAGTTTCTTCAATATATTTTGTATATCAAGCTTTCAACGAAGAGTTAAAATTATATTTAAAATACGTGTATTTCCGGCTTATTCTATCTTCTTCTCTTTTTTCTTTAGAGACTGACCCTTGTGATGCACAACCATGTCAGAATGGAGGAACCTGCACTTTTGTTGATAGTACTCGAACTTGTGCATGTCCTAGCACCCACCAGGGAGAAAACTGTGAAACAGGTAACTTATATGTCAACGTTTTTCCCATTCATGTTGTATCAAGCTTTCAACAAATAGATAAATTCAAATTAAAATACGTGTATATATGACTTATTCTCTCTACTTTTCATCTCTTTTTTTCTTCAGAGATTGACCTTTGTGTAGAAACACCATGTCAGAATGGAGGAACCTGCACTTTTGTTGATAGTACTCGAACTTGTGGATGTCCTAGCACCCACCAGGGAGAAAACTGTGAAACAGGTAACTTATATGTAAACGTTTTTCTCATTCATGTTGTATCAAGCTTTCAACAAATAGTTAAATTCAAATTAAAATACGTGTATATGCGACTTATTCTCTCTACTTTTCATCTCTTTTTTTCTTCAGAGATTGACCTTTGTGTAGAAACACCATGTCAGAATGGAGGAACCTGCACTTTTGTTGATAGTACTCGAACTTGTGGATGTCCTAGCACCCACCAGGGAGTAAACTGTGAAACAGGTAACTTATATGTAAACGTTTTTCTCATTCATGTTGTATCAAGCTTTCAACAAATAGTTAAATTCAAATTAAAATACGTGTATATGCGACTTATTCTCTCTACTTTTCATCTCTTTTTTTCTTCAGAGATTGACCTTTGTGTAGAAACACCATGTCAGAATGGAGGAACCTGCACTTTTGTTGATAGTTCTCGAACTTGTGCATGTCCTAGCACCCACCAGGGAGTAAACTGTGAAACAGGTAACTTATATTTCAACGTTTTTCCAATTCATTTTGTATCAAGCTTTCAAAAGAAAGTTAAATTCGTTTTAAAACACGTGTATATGCGACTCATTCTATTTACTTTTCATCTCTTTTTTTCTTCAGAGATTGACCTTTGTGTAGAAACACCATGTCAGAATGGAGGAACCTGCACTTTTGTTGATAGTACTCGAACTTGTGGATGTCCTAGCACCCACCAGGGAGTAAACTGTGAAACAGGTAACTTATATGTAAACGTTTTTCCCATTCATGTTGTATCAAGCTTTCAACAAATAGTTAAATTCAAATTAAAATACGTGTATATGCGACTTATTCTCTCTACTCTTCATCTCTTTTTTTCTTCAGAGATTGACCTTTGTGTAGAAACACCATGTCAGAATGGAGGAACCTGCACTTTTGTTGATAGTACTCGAACTTGTGCATGCCCTAGCACCCACCAGGGAGTAAACTGTGAAACAGGTAACTTATATTTCAACGTTTTTCCAATTCATTTTGTATCAAGCTTTCAAAAGAAAGTTAAATTCGTTTTAAAACACGTGTATATGCGACTCATTCTATTTACTTTTCATCTCTTTTTTTTCTTCAGAGATTGACCTTTGTGTAGAAACACCATGTCAGAATGGAGGAACCTGCACTTTTGTTGATAGTACTCGAACTTGTGCATGTCCTAGCACCCACCAGGGAGTAAACTGTGAAACAGGTAACTTATATGTAAACGTTTTTCTAATTCATTTTGTATCAAACTTTCAACAAATAGTTAAATTCAAATTAAAATACGTGTATATATGACTTATTCTCTCTACTTTTCATCTCTTTTTTTCTTCAGAGATTGACCTTTGTGTAGAAACACCATGTCAGAATGGAGGAACCTGCACTTTTGTTGATAGTACTCGAACTTGTGCATGTCCTAGCACCCACCAGGGAGTAAACTGTGAAACAGGTAACTTATATGTAAACGTTTTTCTAATTCATTTTGTATCAAACTTTCAACAAATAGTTAAATTCAAATTAAAATACGTGTATATATGACTTATTCTCTCTACTTTTCATCTCTTTTTTTCTTCAGAGATTGACCTTTGTGTAGAAACACCATGTCAGAATGGAGGAACATGCACTTTTGTTGATAGTACTCGAACTTGTGGATGTCCTAGCACCCACCAGGGAGAAAACTGTGAAACAGGTAACTTATATGTAAACGTTTTTCCCATTCATGTTGTATCAAGCTTTCAACAAATAGTTAAATTCAAATTAAAATACGTGTATATGCGACTTATTCTCTCTACTTTTCATCTCTTTTTTTCTTCAGAGATTGACCTTTGTGTAGAAACACCATGTCAGAATGGAGGAACCTGCACTTTTGTTGATAGTACTCGAAGTTGTGGATGTCCTAGCACCCACCAGGGAGTAAACTGTGAAACAGGTAACTTATATGTAAACGTTTTTCTAATTCATGTTGTATCAAACTTTCAACAAAAACTTAAAATTCGATTTAAAATACGTGTATTTGCGTCTCATTCTATCTACTTTTCATCTCTTTTTTTTCTTCAGAGATTGACCTTTGTGTAGAAACACCATGTCAGAATGGAGGAACCTGCACTTTTGTTGATAGTACTCGAACTTGTGCATGTCCTAGCACCCATCAGGGAGTAAACTGTGAAACAGGTAACTTATATTTCAACGTTTTTCCATTTCATTTTGTATCAAGCTTTCAAAAGAAAGTTAAATTCGTTTTAAAACACGTGTATTTGCGTCTCATTCTATCTACTTTTCATCACTTTTTTTCTTCAGAGATTGACCTTTGTGTAGAAACACCATGTCAGAATGGAGGAACCTGCACTTTTGTTGATAGTACTCGAACTTGTGCATGTCCTAGCACCCACCAGGGAGTAAACTGTGAAACAGGTAACTTATATGTAAACGTTTTTCCAATTCATTTTGTATCAAGCTTTCAACAAAAACTTAAAATTCGATTTAAAATACGTGTATTTGCGTCTCATTCTATCTACTTTTCATCTCTTTTTTTCTTCAGAGATTGACCTTTGTGTAGAAACACCATGTCAGAATGGAGGAACCTGCACTTTTGTTGATAGTACTCGAACTTGTGCATGTCCTAGCACCCACCAGGGAGTAAACTGTGAAACAGGTAACTTATATGTAAACGTTTTTCCCATTCATGTTGTATCAAGCTTTCAACAAATAGTTAAATTCAAATTAAAATACGTGTATATGCGACTTATTCTCTCTACTTTTCAGTCATCTCTTTTTTTCTTCAGAGATTGACCTTTGTGTAGAAACACCATGTCAGAATGGAGGAACCTGCAGTTTTGTTGATAGTACTCGAACTTGTGGATGTCCTAGCACCCACCAGGGAGAAAACTGTGAAACAGGTAACTTATATGTAAACGTTTTTCTAATTCATGTTGTATCAAACTTTCAACAAAAACTTAAAATTCGATTTAAAATACGTGTATTTGCGTCTCATTCTATCTACTTTTCATCTCTTTTTTTTCTTCAGAGATTGACCTTTGTGTAGAAACACCATGTCAGAATGGAGGAACCTGCACTTTTGTTGATAGTTCTCGAACTTGTGCATGTCCTAGCACCCACCAGGGAGTAAACTGTGAAACAGGTAACTTATATTTCAACGTTTTTCCAATTCATTTTGTATCAAGCTTTCAAAAGAAAGTTAAATTCGTTTTAAAACACGTGTATATGCGACTCATTCTATTTACTTTTCATCTCTTTTTTTCTTCAGAGATTGACCTTTGTGTAGAAACACCATGTCAGAATGGAGGAACCTGCACTTTTGTTGATAGTACTCGAACTTGTGGATGTCCTAGCACCCACCAGGGAGTAAACTGTGAAACAGGTAACTTATATGTAAACGTTTTTCTAATTCATTTTGTATCAAACTTTCAACAAAAACTTAAAATTCGATTTAAAATACGTGTATTTGCGTCTCATTCTATCTACTTTTCATCTCTTTTTTTCTTCAGAGATTGACCTTTGTGTAGAAACACCATGTCAGAATGGAGGAACCTGCACTTTTGTTGATAGTACTCGAACTTGTGCATGTCCTAGCACCCATCAGGGAGTAAACTGTGAAACAGGTAACTTATATTTCAACGTTTTTCCAATTCATTTTGTATCAAGCTTTCAAAAGAAAGTTAAATTCGTTTTAAAACACGTGTATATGCGACTCATTCTATTTACTTTTCATCTCTTTTTTTTCTTCAGAGATTGACCTTTGTGTAGAAACACCATGTCAGAATGGAGGAACCTGCACTTTTGTTGATAGTACTCGAACTTGTGCATGTCCTAGCACCCACCAGGGAGTAAACTGTGAAACAGGTAACTTATATGTAAACGTTTTTCTAATTCATTTTGTATCAAACTTTCAACAAATAGTTAAATTCAAATTAAAATACGTGTATATATGACTTATTCTCTCTACTTTTCATCTCTTTTTTTCTTCAGAGATTGACCTTTGTGTAGAAACACCATGTCAGAATGGAGGAACATGCACTTTTGTTGATAGTACTCGAACTTGTGGATGTCCTAGCACCCACCAGGGAGAAAACTGTGAAACAGGTAACTTATATGTAAACGTTTTTCCCATTCATGTTGTATCAAGCTTTCAACAAATAGTTAAATTCAAATTAAAATACGTGTATATGCGACTTATTCTCTCTACTTTTCATCTCTTTTTTTCTTCAGAGATTGACCTTTGTGTAGAAACACCATGTCAGAATGGAGGAACCTGCACTTTTGTTGATAGTACTCGAAGTTGTGGATGTCCTAGCACCCACCAGGGAGTAAACTGTGAAACAGGTAACTTATATGTAAACGTTTTTCTAATTCATGTTGTATCAAACTTTCAACAAAAACTTAAAATTCGATTTAAAATACGTGTATTTGCGTCTCATTCTATCTACTTTTCATCTCTTTTTTTTCTTCAGAGATTGACCTTTGTGTAGAAACACCATGTCAGAATGGAGGAACCTGCACTTTTGTTGATAGTACTCGAACTTGTGCATGTCCTAGCACCCATCAGGGAGTAAACTGTGAAACAGGTAACTTATATTTCAACGTTTTTCCAATTCATTTTGTATCAAGCTTTCAAAAGAAAGTTAAATTCGTTTTAAAACACGTGTATTTGCGTCTCATTCTATCTACTTTTCATCACTTTTTTTCTTCAGAGATTGACCTTTGTGTAGAAACACCATGTCAGAATGGAGGAACCTGCACTTTTGTTGATAGTACTCGAACTTGTGCATGTCCTAGCACCCACCAGGGAGTAAACTGTGAAACAGGTAACTTATATGTAAACGTTTTTCCAATTCATTTTGTATCAAGCTTTCAACAAAAACTTAAAATTCGATTTAAAATACGTGTATTTGCGTCTCATTCTATCTACTTTTCATCTCTTTTTTTCTTCAGAGATTGACCTTTGTGTAGAAACACCATGTCAGAATGGAGGAACCTGCACTTTTGTTGATAGTACTCGAACTTGTGCATGTCCTAGCACCCACCAGGGAGTAAACTGTGAAACAGGTAACTTATATGTAAACGTTTTTCCCATTCATGTTGTATCAAGCTTTCAACAAATAGTTAAATTCAAATTAAAATACGTGTATATGCGACTTATTCTCTCTACTTTTCATCTCTTTTTTTCTTCAGAGATTGACCTTTGTGTAGAAACACCATGTCAGAATGGAGGAACCTGCACTTTTGTTGATAGTACTCGAACTTGTGGATGTCCTAGCACCCACCAGGGAGAAAACTGTGAAACAGGTAACTTATATGTAAACGTTTTTCTAATTCATGTTGTATCAAACTTTCAACAAAAACTTAAAATTCGATTTAAAATACGTGTATTTGCGTCTCATTCTATCTACTTTTCATCTCTTTTTTTTCTTCAGAGATTGACCTTTGTGTAGAAACACCATGTCAGAATGGAGGAACCTGCACTTTTGTTGATAGTTCTCGAACTTGTGCATGTCCTAGCACCCACCAGGGAGTAAACTGTGAAACAGGTAACTTATATTTCAACGTTTTTCCAATTCATTTTGTATCAAGCTTTCAAAAGAAAGTTAAATTCGTTTTAAAACACGTGTATATGCGACGCATTCTATTTACTTTTCATCTCTTTTTTTTCTTCAGAGATTGACCTTTGTGTAGAAACACCATGTCAGAATGGAGGAACCTGCACTTTTGTTGATAGTACTCGAACTTGTGCATGTCCTAGCACCCACCAGGGAGTAAACTGTGAAACAGGTAACTTATATGTAAACGTTTTTCTAATTCATTTTGTATCAAACTTTCAACAAATAGTTAAATTCAAATTAAAATACGTGTATATATGACTTATTCTCTCTACTTTTCATTTCTTTTTTTCTTCAGAGATTGACCTTTGTGTAGAAACACCATGTCAGAATGGAGGAACCTGCACTTTTGTTGATAGTACTCGAACTTGTGGATGTCCTAGCACCCACCAGGGAGAAAACTGTGAAACAGGTAACTTATATGTAAACGTTTTTCCCATTCATGTTGTATCAAGCTTTCAACAAATAGTTAAATTCAAATTAAAATACGTGTATATATGACTTATTCTCTCTACTTTTCATCTCTTTTTTTTCTTCAGAGATTGACCTTTGTGTAGAAACACCATGTCAGAATGGAGGAACCTGCACTTTTGTTGATAGTACTCGAACTTGTGGATGTCCTAGCACCCACCAGGGAGTAAACTGTGAAACAGGTAACTTATATGTAAACGTTTTTCTAATTCATTTTGTATCAAACTTTCAACAAAAACTTAAAATTCGATTTAAAATACGTGTATTTGCGGCTCATTCTATCTACTTTTCATCACTTTTTTTCTTCAGAGATTGACCTTTGTGATGTAACACCATGTCAGAATGGAGGAACCTGCACTTTTGTTGATAGTACTCGAACTTGTGCATGTCCTAGCACCCACCAGGGAGAAAACTGTAAAACAAGTAACTTATATGTAAACGTTTTTCCAATTCATTTTGTATCAAGCTTTCAACAAATAGTTAAATTCAAATTAAAATACGTGTATATATGACTTATTCTCTCTACTTTTCATCTCTTTTTTTCTTCAGAGATTGACCTTTGTGTAGAAACACCATGTCAGAATGGAGGAACCTGCACTTTTGTTGATAGTACTCGAACTTGTGGATGTCCTAGCACCCACCAGGGAGAAAACTGTGAAACAGGTAACTTATATGTAAACGTTTTTCTAATTCATGTTGTATCAAACTTTCAACAAAAACTTAAAATTCGATTTAAAATACGTGTATTTGCGTCTCATTCTATCTACTTTTCATCTCTTTTTTTTCTTCAGAGATTGACCTTTGTGTAGAAACACCATGTCAGAATGGAGGAACCTGCACTTTTGTTGATAGTTCTCGAACTTGTGCATGTCCTAGCACCCACCAGGGAGTGAACTGTGAAACAGGTAACTTATATTTCAACGTTTTTCCAATTCATTTTGTATCAAGCTTTCAAAAGAAAGTTAAATTCGTTTTAAAACACGTGTATATGCGACTCATTCTATTTACTTTTCATCTCTTTTTTTTCTTCAGAGATTGACCTTTGTGTAGAAACACCATGTCAGAATGGAGGAACCTGCACTTTTGTTGATAGTTCTCGAACTTGTGCATGTCCTAGCACCCACCAGGGAGTAAACTGTGAAACAGGTAACTTATATTTCAACGTTTTTCCAATTCATTTTGTATCAAGCTTTCAAAAGAAAGTTAAATTCGTTTTAAAACACGTGTATATGCGACTCATTCTATCTACTTTTCATCTCTTTTTTTCTTCAGAGATTGACCTTTGTGTAGAAACACCATGTCAGAATGGAGGAACCTGCACTTTTGTTGATAGTACTCGAACTTGTGGATGTCCTAGCACCCACCAGGGAGTAAACTGTGAAACAGGTAACTTATATGTAAACGTTTTTCTAATTCATTTTGTATCAAACTTTCAACAAATAGTTAAATTCAAATTAAAATACGTGTATATATGACTTATTCTCTCTACTTTTCATCTCTTTTTTTTCTTCAGAGATTGACCTTTGTGTAGAAACACCATGTCAGAATGGAGGAACCTGCACTTTTGTTGATAGTACTCGAACTTGTGGATGTCCTAGCACCCACCAGGGAGTAAACTGTGAAACAGGTAACTTATATGTAAACGTTTTTCTAATTCATTTTGTATCAAACTTTCAACAAAAACTTAAAATTCGATTTAAAATACGTGTATTTGCGGCTCATTCTATCTACTTTTCATCACTTTTTTTCTTCAGAGATTGACCTTTGTGATGTAACACCATGTCAGAATGGAGGAACCTGCACTTTTGTTGATAGTACTCGAACTTGTGCATGTCCTAGCACCCACCAGGGAGAAAACTGTAAAACAAGTAACTTATATGTAAACGTTTTTCCAATTCATTTTGTATCAAGCTTTCAACAAATAGTTAAATTCAAATTAAAATACGTGTATATATGACTTATTCTCTCTACTTTTCATCTCTTTTTTTCTTCAGAGATTGACCTTTGTGTAGAAACACCATGTCAGAATGGAGGAACCTGCACTTTTGTTGATAGTACTCGAACTTGTGGATGTCCTAGCACCCACCAGGGAGTAAACTGTGAAACAGGTAACTTATATGTAAACGTTTTTCCCATTCATGTTGTATCAAGCTTTCAACAAATAGTTAAATTCAAATTAAAATACGTGTATATGCGACTTATTCTCTCTACTCTTCATCTCTTTTTTTCTTCAGAGATTGACCTTTGTGTAGAAACACCATGTCAGAATGGAGGAACCTGCACTTTTTTTGATAGTTCTCGAACTTGTGCATGTCCTAGCACCCACCAGGGAGTGAACTGTGAAACAGGTAACTTATATTTCAACGTTTTTCCAATTCATTTTGTATCAAGCTTTCAAAAGAAAGTTAAATTCGTTTTAAAACACGTGTATATGCGTCTCATTCTATTTACTTTTCATCTCTTTTTTTTCTTCAGAGATTGACCTTTGTGTAGAAACACCATGTCAGAATGGAGGAACCTGCACTTTTGTTGATAGTTCTCGAACTTGTGCATGTCCTAGCACCCACCAGGGAGTAAACTGTGAAACAGGTAACTTATATGTAAACGTTTTTCTAATTCATGTTGTATCAAACTTTCAACAAAAACTTAAAATTCGATTTAAAATACGTGTATTTGCGTCTCATTATATGTACTTTTCATCTCTTTTTTTTCTTCAGAGATTGACCTTTGTGTAGAAACACCATGTCAGAATGGAGGAACCTGCACTTTTGTTGATAGTACTCGAACTTGTGCATGCCCTAGCACCCACCAGGGAGTAAACTGTGAAACAGGTAACTTATATTTCAACGTTTTTCCAATTCATTTTGTATCAAGCTTTCAAAAGAAAGTTAAATTCGTTTTAAAACACGTGTATATGCGACTCATTCTATTTACTTTTCATCTCTTTTTTTTCTTCAGAGATTGACCTTTGTGTAGAAACACCATGTCAGAATGGAGGAACCTGCACTTTTGTTGATAGTACTCGAACTTGTGCATGTCCTAGCACCCACCAGGGAGTAAACTGTGAAACAGGTAACTTATATGTAAACGTTTTTCTAATTCATTTTGTATCAAACTTTCAACAAATAGTTAAATTCAAATTAAAATACGTGTATATATGACTTATTCTCTCTACTTTTCATCTCTTTTTTTCTTCAGAGATTGACCTTTGTGTAGAAACACCATGTCAGAATGGAGGAACATGCACTTTTGTTGATAGTACTCGAACTTGTGGATGTCCTAGCACCCACCAGGGAGAAAACTGTGAAACAGGTAACTTATATGTAAACGTTTTTCCCATTCATGTTGTATCAAGCTTTCAACAAATAGTTAAATTCAAATTAAAATACGTGTATATGCGACTTATTCTCTCTACTTTTCATCTCTTTTTTTCTTCAGAGATTGACCTTTGTGTAGAAACACCATGTCAGAATGGAGGAACCTGCACTTTTGTTGATAGTACTCGAAGTTGTGGATGTCCTAGCACCCACCAGGGAGTAAACTGTGAAACAGGTAACTTATATGTAAACGTTTTTCTAATTCATGTTGTATCAAACTTTCAACAAAAACTTAAAATTCGATTTAAAATACGTGTATTTGCGTCTCATTCTATCTACTTTTCATCTCTTTTTTTTCTTCAGAGATTGACCTTTGTGTAGAAACACCATGTCAGAATGGAGGAACCTGCACTTTTGTTGATAGTACTCGAACTTGTGCATGTCCTAGCACCCATCAGGGAGTAAACTGTGAAACAGGTAACTTATATTTCAACGTTTTTCCAATTCATTTTGTATCAAGCTTTCAAAAGAAAGTTAAATTCGTTTTAAAACACGTGTATTTGCGTCTCATTCTATCTACTTTTCATCACTTTTTTTCTTCAGAGATTGACCTTTGTGTAGAAACACCATGTCAGAATGGAGGAACCTGCACTTTTGTTGATAGTACTCGAACTTGTGCATGTCCTAGCACCCACCAGGGAGTAAACTGTGAAACAGGTAACTTATATGTAAACGTTTTTCCAATTCATTTTGTATCAAGCTTTCAACAAAAACTTAAAATTCGATTTAAAATACGTGTATTTGCGTCTCATTCTATCTACTTTTCATCTCTTTTTTTCTTCAGAGATTGACCTTTGTGTAGAAACACCATGTCAGAATGGAGGAACCTGCACTTTTGTTGATAGTACTCGAACTTGTGCATGTCCTAGCACCCACCAGGGAGTAAACTGTGAAACAGGTAACTTATATGTAAACGTTTTTCCCATTCATGTTGTATCAAGCTTTCAACAAATAGTTAAATTCAAATTAAAATACGTGTATATGCGACTTATTCTCTCTACTTTTCATCTCTTTTTTTCTTCAGAGATTGACCTTTGTGTAGAAACACCATGTCAGAATGGAGGAACCTGCACTTTTGTTGATAGTACTCGAACTTGTGGATGTCCTAGCACCCACCAGGGAGAAAACTGTGAAACAGGTAACTTATATGTAAACGTTTTTCTAATTCATGTTGTATCAAACTTTCAACAAAAACTTAAAATTCGATTTAAAATACGTGTATTTGCGTCTCATTCTATCTACTTTTCATCTCTTTTTTTTCTTCAGAGATTGACCTTTGTGTAGAAACACCATGTCAGAATGGAGGAACCTGCACTTTTGTTGATAGTTCTCGAACTTGTGCATGTCCTAGCACCCACCAGGGAGTAAACTGTGAAACAGGTAACTTATATTTCAACGTTTTTCCAATTCATTTTGTATCAAGCTTTCAAAAGAAAGTTAAATTCGTTTTAAAACACGTGTATATGCGACGCATTCTATTTACTTTTCATCTCTTTTTTTTCTTCAGAGATTGACCTTTGTGTAGAAACACCATGTCAGAATGGAGGAACCTGCACTTTTGTTGATAGTACTCGAACTTGTGCATGTCCTAGCACCCACCAGGGAGTAAACTGTGAAACAGGTAACTTATATGTAAACGTTTTTCTAATTCATTTTGTATCAAACTTTCAACAAATAGTTAAATTCAAATTAAAATACGTGTATATATGACTTATTCTCTCTACTTTTCATTTCTTTTTTTCTTCAGAGATTGACCTTTGTGTAGAAACACCATGTCAGAATGGAGGAACCTGCACTTTTGTTGATAGTACTCGAACTTGTGGATGTCCTAGCACCCACCAGGGAGAAAACTGTGAAACAGGTAACTTATATGTAAACGTTTTTCCCATTCATGTTGTATCAAGCTTTCAACAAATAGTTAAATTCAAATTAAAATACGTGTATATATGACTTATTCTCTCTACTTTTCATCTCTTTTTTTTCTTCAGAGATTGACCTTTGTGTAGAAACACCATGTCAGAATGGAGGAACCTGCACTTTTGTTGATAGTACTCGAACTTGTGGATGTCCTAGCACCCACCAGGGAGTAAACTGTGAAACAGGTAACTTATATGTAAACGTTTTTCTAATTCATTTTGTATCAAACTTTCAACAAAAACTTAAAATTCGATTTAAAATACGTGTATTTGCGGCTCATTCTATCTACTTTTCATCACTTTTTTTCTTCAGAGATTGACCTTTGTGATGTAACACCATGTCAGAATGGAGGAACCTGCACTTTTGTTGATAGTACTCGAACTTGTGCATGTCCTAGCACCCACCAGGGAGAAAACTGTAAAACAAGTAACTTATATGTAAACGTTTTTCCAATTCATTTTGTATCAAGCTTTCAACAAATAGTTAAATTCAAATTAAAATACGTGTATATATGACTTATTCTCTCTACTTTTCATCTCTTTTTTTCTTCAGAGATTGACCTTTGTGTAGAAACACCATGTCAGAATGGAGGAACCTGCACTTTTGTTGATAGTACTCGAACTTGTGGATGTCCTAGCACCCACCAGGGAGAAAACTGTGAAACAGGTAACTTATATGTAAACGTTTTTCTAATTCATGTTGTATCAAACTTTCAACAAAAACTTAAAATTCGATTTAAAATACGTGTATTTGCGTCTCATTCTATCTACTTTTCATCTCTTTTTTTTCTTCAGAGATTGACCTTTGTGTAGAAACACCATGTCAGAATGGAGGAACCTGCACTTTTGTTGATAGTACTCGAACTTGTGCATGTCCTAGCACCCACCAGGGAGTAAACTGTGAAACAGGTAACTTATATGTAAACGTTTTTCCAATTCATTTTGTATCAAGCTTTCAACAAAAACTTAAAATTCGATTTAAAATACGTGTATTTGCGTCTCATTCTATCTACTTTTCATCTCTTTTTTTCTTCAGAGATTGACCTTTGTGTAGAAACACCATGTCAGAATGGAGGAACCTGCACTTTTGTTGATAGTACTCGAACTTGTGCATGTCCTAGCACCCACCAGGGAGTAAACTGTGAAACAGGTAACTTATATGTAAACGTTTTTCCCATTCATGTTGTATCAAGCTTTCAACAAATAGTTAAATTCAAATTAAAATACGTGTATATGCGACTTATTCTCTCTACTTTTCATCTCTTTTTTTCTTCAGAGATTGACCTTTGTGTAGAAACACCATGTCAGAATGGAGGAACCTGCACTTTTGTTGATAGTACTCGAACTTGTGGATGTCCTAGCACCCACCAGGGAGAAAACTGTGAAACAGGTAACTTATATGTAAACGTTTTTCTAATTCATGTTGTATCAAACTTTCAACAAAAACTTAAAATTCGATTTAAAATACGTGTATTTGCGTCTCATTCTATCTACTTTTCATCTCTTTTTTTTCTTCAGAGATTGACCTTTGTGTAGAAACACCATGTCAGAATGGAGGAACCTGCACTTTTGTTGATAGTTCTCGAACTTGTGCATGTCCTAGCACCCACCAGGGAGTAAACTGTGAAACAGGTAACTTATATTTCAACGTTTTTCCAATTCATTTTGTATCAAGCTTTCAAAAGAAAGTTAAATTCGTTTTAAAACACGTGTATATGCGACGCATTCTATTTACTTTTCATCTCTTTTTTTTCTTCAGAGATTGACCTTTGTGTAGAAACACCATGTCAGAATGGAGGAACCTGCACTTTTGTTGATAGTACTCGAACTTGTGCATGTCCTAGCACCCACCAGGGAGTAAACTGTGAAACAGGTAACTTATATGTAAACGTTTTTCTAATTCATTTTGTATCAAACTTTCAACAAATAGTTAAATTCAAATTAAAATACGTGTATATATGACTTATTCTCTCTACTTTTCATTTCTTTTTTTCTTCAGAGATTGACCTTTGTGTAGAAACACCATGTCAGAATGGAGGAACCTGCACTTTTGTTGATAGTACTCGAACTTGTGGATGTCCTAGCACCCACCAGGGAGAAAACTGTGAAACAGGTAACTTATATGTAAACGTTTTTCCCATTCATGTTGTATCAAGCTTTCAACAAATAGTTAAATTCAAATTAAAATACGTGTATATATGACTTATTCTCTCTACTTTTCATCTCTTTTTTTTCTTCAGAGATTGACCTTTGTGTAGAAACACCATGTCAGAATGGAGGAACCTGCACTTTTGTTGATAGTACTCGAACTTGTGGATGTCCTAGCACCCACCAGGGAGTAAACTGTGAAACAGGTAACTTATATGTAAACGTTTTTCTAATTCATTTTGTATCAAACTTTCAACAAAAACTTAAAATTCGATTTAAAATACGTGTATTTGCGGCTCATTCTATCTACTTTTCATCACTTTTTTTCTTCAGAGATTGACCTTTGTGATGTAACACCATGTCAGAATGGAGGAACCTGCACTTTTGTTGATAGTACTCGAACTTGTGCATGTCCTAGCACCCACCAGGGAGAAAACTGTAAAACAAGTAACTTATATGTAAACGTTTTTCCAATTCATTTTGTATCAAGCTTTCAACAAATAGTTAAATTCAAATTAAAATACGTGTATATATGACTTATTCTCTCTACTTTTCATCTCTTTT